GGAAGCAATGTGTAGTCAATTCAAAATATTGTCAATTATTTTACATTAGACATGTAATTGATTTATTCCTTTCCTGGCTGTAAGGTGTGATAACAAGCTTCAAAAGCAGGTTAATGGATCATGAAGTATATAAATATCCTAACAGTATTACTAACCATTCTTTGCTTCAGACTCTGTCACTTACCATCTGGTAATGTTGTGAAGTTAACACTGTATGGAAGTGCTGGATTTGTTAAATTCTTTGGACTCCTAACAAACACACTGGCAAGGTACTGTGTGTATGGAATTAATTTTTCAAACCTAGCGAATTGTTCTTGTTCCTTTTGTTGCACTACTGGCATTATCTGAGTTGTTCTGGCCCATGGACTTAAACCAATCAGTGTTACATCATAGCCTTTAATTGAACCTTTTATAGCTGTACAATCTTTTGGTGGAGACCAGTAAAACTCAACATATTCTTTATTTGTCTCTACTGAGCGTTTGCCTGGTTCTGGACGAACTTGTGGAATATCTGAAACAAAATTCTTAATTAGCTGGTCCAAGATACTGCTGAGCTGCAAATTTAAAATATACCAATTGATAACAATTGCTATGAACACACAGTACCTCATATCCCAGCGGAAATTGCTGCCTAAACTGAAAATTACAAAATACAGGTAGCCCTCGATTCCTTCTCGAAGGTATCACCACCTTGTCGAAGGCAATCTGCCGGGTGAGGAGGCTTGCGTGCTCAAATGACCCTTAGGGCTATGCCGGCCTGAGCTTCGGCTCATGGTAGGGTCACCCAAGCCGGACAGGTCTAAGGAGATGCGCTAGACTAAGAGTGATACCCTGGTCCTCCAGGTTGGGGGTTGGGTGGAGGGCTAACAACCTTTCACCTTTAAAAAAAATATGTGTTACGAAAAAAATCAACCAAGCCTCGGATCAGGACGGACTCTTTGGCACGACCACGGCAATTGAAAAAGGACATGAGATTTGGTACCTGGAACATTAGGAGCCTCTATAGGGCTGGGGCACTGAAATCAGTG